TCATGACAAGCAGCCCATATTCAGAAGACCAGAATGACAGGGACTCCAAGCCTGATACTACTATTACAGATTACCGTCTTCAGTGCAGTTGCTTAGTGCATAGGTGTCAGTATATATAGTTAGTCAGGGTGAGAATCTTTCCAATTAACTGCTAGGTTCAAAAATTTCCACTGTTTTCTTTCTTTCTTTCTTTCTTTCTTTCTTTCTTTCTTTCTTTCTTTCTTTCTTTCTTTTCTTTCTTTCTTTCTTTCTTTCTTCTTTCTTTCCTTTTTTTTTTTCTCCGTATGCCTTGAGGGCAGATTTGGCTGGCTTGAGTTGTGGGGATGGAACCACAGCAACCTGAGCCTGAATGCTTTGTCAAAGCAGCCACTTAAAGAACTGAGCTAAGGGGTAGGCCCCCAAAAATGGAATAAGGATTTTTTTTCTCCGAACGCCTTCAGGGCAGGTTTGGCTGGCTTGAGTTGTGGGGATCGAACCACAGCAACCTGAGCCTGACTGCTTGGTTGAAGCAGCCACTTAAGGAACTGAGCTAAGGGGCAGGCCCCCCACTGTTTTCTATTGAACCACAGGTGATCAATTTACACCACTCCCTAAATCATGGATTCCCCTTTATGAACTTTTTAATAACCAATATAATTTATGAACCTGCATCCTTAATGGGAACGTGTCTCCTCTTGGCTATCTAAAGCTCTGTTCACTTGTCTCTGTCTGTTCTTGTCCTTGTATGTTTTAAATTTATGGGAGTGAGTGTGTATGAAGAGGATGGATATAGTCTTGCTCAGAGCATGCTTGGGAAAGTCTAGAAAGTCTTACTGGATGCTCTTTATAGAGACTTTTCTTGGAGTTCTAGGAAAGTATCCCCATCCCTTTGTTCTGTCCTTGACAATATGTACACCTGCCTGGAGTCTAGAGCCTCATCAGACAATTCTGTCCATGATTAGTCTCTTATTGATTCTACAGACAGAAAGTGACACACTTAGCACTCTTTCTGGTCATGACCATGCTTGGGATGGCCCCACTCTAAACCAAAGTCTGTGGGTCTTTGCAGCCATCGCCCTTCTATGCACCTACCCTGCAACTCTAATTCATGTGACTGTCTTTCTAAATGGCAGACTTTCACTAAGCTCATTTACAATTAAAGTTAACCCTTAAGGGTGACACATTTAAAGTGAAAATATATTCTTCATTTGTGTGTTTGCTTTGGCAGCATGTATACTAAAATTAGAACGATACAGAAAAAATTAGCATGGCCCCTGCACAAGGATGACATGCAAATTCATGATGCATTCCATATGCTTCACTTTTAAAGTATCATAGTGCATAACTGAATCAAATTTCAAGCATTTAATTGCTATTTAATTTTTAATGAGTATGAAGAGACTTTCAAAATAAATTTGGATTTCAAAATCAATTCTTTAGAAGATTCTTGGCCAAATCAAAGTAAACATGTGCAAAGCTTGAAACCTGATCATCAATAATCTCTACAAATCAAGAAACTAGGGAGGTAAATATTATGATTGTTACATTGACTGATGAGAAAATGGAAATAGTCGAGGAAACAAAACATTCGTTTTCCATCCTCAGAACCTGTGAATAGTTACCTTCCACGTCCACAGACATCGGGCAGCTGTGATCAACATGGACATTGTGACATTACAGTATTATTGCAAGGTGGCAAGGGGAAGGTAGCTAACAGAGGCAAAGAGTTTTATAGTTGAAAGAGACACAGTAGGTTTGGAGTGAGGGAAGGAGATGCAAAGGTCTGGTGGTGCTGCTGGGAGTACACAGGATGGAGTACAGCTAGTGAGGCCATCAGGTGGCCTTGTGAGCTGAAGGAGGCATGGGAGGAGGACTTTCCCTGGAGCATCTAGGGAGAACACAGCTCACCTGACACTCAGCCTTCAGCCTACCAAACCCGTTCATTGTGATTTTCAGAACTGTAGGTGATCAAGTTTATGATAACTTGTCACAACAGTAGTAGGAAAAATAATTCAACTAGGCAATGTTGAGGTATTTGTCTTGCCTGAATACATAATATATATGAACATATACATATATGCACACTATAATTTTATTAGTATATTTATTGGTACATTATATCTGCATATTTATATGTATTTACTACAGTTTATTTTTTATTTTATTGGTATATTTT